CGTTTCTACTATTTGGCAATGATAAGAAGATTTTGATAAAATTATTGCTAGTCAGCTCACTACTGATCGAATCACACTGCACTATATCTAATTATGTTTTATTATTATTATCTTTTTTGAGGTTTAATGCAATTTGGAACGTTTTATTAAAATAATAAAAAAATATATTTAAAAATATGTCTAATTTATTATATAATTACCAATGAAATATCTATTTTTCTCTATTTCGAAAAATTGATGTCCTCACACGTGAAAAAATACACGGAAAGAATTGCCTGAAAAAGCCAAAACATAATTTCATTGATAACTATATAATAAACAGAATATTACATGGCCGCTTGGAGATACGAAATTTATCTTCTCGTGTTGAAAATCGCTCACTCGTTCGCTGCGCTCACTTGTGAGATATCTTTTCAACACTCGAAGATAAATTTCGTATCTCCGCGCGCCCATGTAATATCCTCTATATATTTTACCGCGGCGTGGACTATGTGCGCCTTGCTGGTCGCACTTTATGATGACTCTATTTTTCTTTATTTTTTGTCGTTTTCTATGTGAATTTGTTTTACTCTATATTGATCAAACACTAGTTTAAAGTTGCACAAGACAATCGCCGTACGAGTTTAGATATTGGGAAAACATGGGAAATATTCGTGAGACGGAAGGCAGAAAAGAACCAGGCTGACCCTTTGCAGTCCAACTAATTTGGATGCACATTTTGATTCTATGTTATATAAAGCGAACAGTTGTCTATATATTTTGCGCGTTTACAAATATCATGGGTTCTCAGTAAATTACTTAGTTCTTTTCTTTAATTCTTAAATTCTTTCAATTTTTACTTACGCTATAGAGGTTTGGGCTAGTGCTTCCTATAACTAATTAACTTGGATATACTAAAGACCACTATTCTATTTTGAGTATTTAAACTGAAAAGGATAACAAACTTTGGAGARAAAAATAAGTCTCCCGACAATCCTCTTTATCACCTTTTGCCCCCTACCATGAATCGGGTTTTAAGAAATAGGGGGCATTCTTTCATAATACCTAGAATAAGAACTGAAAGTTTTAAAAGTGTTCTTATCAATAGAAGCTTACTTAATTTTAGATAATTTTTAAATATTGTGTACAGATGATATATATATATATATATATATATTATATATATGTATGTATGTATTTGATATTATTGGTTTGTATTATATATTTCTTTTTAAGTTTTGTAAACCATGTCAATAGAGGGGAATGGTTAGGAAACCTATTGTTATCAGGTCTTTGTTCGCTTTTRATGTTGAACCGGTCTTGACCGTGCACAAAGTTTGATTTATGATTATCCGAAATTGCAAAACAAGTAAACATAAACTTTATCTATGGGATTATCTCTTAACTATGTGTAAACTGAACACGTCCGTTGTTCAGTATTGTTCCTTGTGTGCAAATAAAGACCATTACTTCACAACTTTATAATCTAATTAACTATATCTACTTGGCTTTTTGAGGTTTAATGCAATTTCGATTAGTTTATTCTGGAGAGCTTCGCTCGTGCTAGAATCTGATTTCAATATCGATCTCGAACGTGGATTTGTCTAGTGCTTATTAATTTCATAACTGTTTTACAGACCAACTAAAATAATCACTCTAACAGTGGTTGAGGTAGGATTGGCGGTTGGCGTAGTGTTGGTATTGTAATTGTATTTCAGTTAATATTCCCCTTCACAGTTCCCGGTGCCATCTTTAAAGGTACAGCCGTGCCTTTGCATCGAAGTGAGACAAACGGTGACCTGCCATTGATATAGACTTGTGAATAATTGACAAGGTGTTAAAAAAAGGTATCTATCATTGCAAGCTCACCGTTTGTCTCGCTTCGAAAAAAAGACACTGCTACCTTTCAAGAAGGGGAAGGGAACTCATTGAGCAGTAGACTATTGCCTTTCTTCGTTTTATGGTTTTCTTGTTGTTTTCATAGATTACCTTCCCCTGAAGCAATGGTTTATCAACATTCTATCTGTCTGATTGTTGTGGCTTTCTTGATTGGATCATCAATAGCTCTTACTCCTAGAGATCTTCCTCCGAAGGGTGGTAAGCTTTATCCTTCTTATTAGCATGCATACCAACGAATGGGCTTTGGTCAATTGCCTCCTTGTCTCATTATTGAGCAAAACAACCAAGATTGTCTTATTTGATCGAGTATAATTAGTAGTAATCAGGCTTTAACGCAATCAACTCATTCTAAAGATAAGCATGGTATTTTCTAGTTAGTTAACAAGCACAACGCCTGCTTTAAAAGCGCACAGTAATCACACGCGTGGAATCGTACAATTCACCGTAGCGACAAAAAATAAAAAAAGGTTTTAGTTAACGTCATCCCATGTGTTTTCATGCCAAAAAGTGTCGTAAGAACGAAGTTTTCAAGGACACGCGCCTATGAATGCCATGCTGATGGATTGTTTGACGTCTACAAAAACCGGAACTCCGTGCGTGTGGTACGCGAATAGTGTAAGTGTGGTAAGGTTAGCGATACAATACTTATCTCTTGTTTGCTATTTTAATTTAGATGCTAAGAAGCTCGAGAAAAGGCTTGGTTGCAGCTGTGATGGACATGCTGGTACCTACTGGTGGAATAAATTGTCTTGTCCAAGCAGTTATAAGTATTACGGGACTTGTGCGAAATTCAATGGCGTCTGTTGCTGGTACAAGTCTTAACAGGCCAACACACTAAAATGCCAGTATTTAAAAAGCAAATAAAGATAAAGCTATAAATTGTAAAAGTAATATATTAAAATGAAAAAAATATTGTGGTATCGTGGTATGGATATAACTGTGCATTGCTTTAAAAATAAACAGATAAAGATCAGCATGAACAACAAGGTTTATCTATTGGTATTGTTTATTGAGTTATTCAGTTACATTCATCATCAAAACTGCATCATCATCATGCGCAACACGCGGAACACGCGGAAACTGTGCAACTAGCTCAGAAAAAATATTTTAATGCAGCTTTATGTAAAAAGACATTAATAGCCATTTAAAGATTTCCTATATGGTTTGTAGGGCCATAATAAGTTCCCCCTCGGTTATTGTATGTTTTGAGGTCCAGTTTCGCAATTTAGCGAGGTGTCAATGAATCAATCACTTTCATGGCCAGAAATCTCGGATCCCGCGATCGCAAAGCGGAGTTCCCCAATCGCAGTACTTCTAGATCGCATCAAATATAATATATATTCATTTATGAATCTAAAAGGTGAAAAGAAGATCGGGAAAAGAATCTTCAATTGTTTTTATTCGAGATGAAGATAGCGTATCCCATAATAAAAACCATGCATTGAAATCGAATCAAAATGCACTATATTGTTATCTTTGCGCGATTATACTCTCCCCCTTAGGAATTTTGTACACAACTCACCACCAGCCACCCCAGGTGCTAGTTTTGTTCTTAGGAGATTCTTCGAGAAAGTTTTCCATGGCCGACATTTCTAAGCCTTTAATTTCTGTTTAAGTTGACTAAAAAACAACAACAACAAAAAATAAAAGATAACTACAGACAATCCAACAGAATATCAGGTTTAGTGAAATTTACCTTGGATGTCTTTCATTAAAATCAAAATTTTGAAGATTCCCAATTCTTTTAGAACAAATCAAGACTATAAAACAGACTTAACAAGTTTTGACACAGGAAAACGTGTCAAATGTGCTGGGCACATTGGATACTTTGAATAGAGTAGAAGACTATTTGGGATTTCGTCATTGTAAGACAGAAGAAAGTCCGTGGATTCGGTTTGAATATTTTTTTACGGTCAAATTGAACCAGCATAAACGAGTCTTAGTCGCAAATCCCAAAGCAAGCCTCCATCTCTCTGAGAACCAGTGTTATGGTGGCTCCATCGGCTCAAAAACACCACACAAAACATTATTGAACAGAAGATTCTCCATCTACAGAAAAAGTTTGGCCTCAGAATACCCTGCGAGCAGAGTCTCCTTTACCTTCCCCCGAGTGAGAGAAAGGAAAGAAGACTCTTTCCAGTTCTCTCACTCGGGGGAAGGTAAAGGAGACTTTGCTCGCGGGGTAACCACAGAATGGAAATATTACGAAAAACGTATCTCTTTCCCTACGCTTCTTAGTAAATTTGCCCCCCAAAAAATATGGCGTCGGAAACCGTGAAAGGAACTATAAATAAACTAATATAAAACTCGTGTGAGTACTCTTTTATGTAAATCATGACGCATCAATGACGCAGTAGAAATTCCCTGGCCTGTCCATTTACAATCTTTTGTTTACGTAACTAATTCGAGTTGTATCAAAAAACAAAATCGCACTTAAATTTTCTAATTTAGCTCCAGTTTCTAATTATCTGCTTAGAACTACCAAATTAAGTTTAAAGTAAGTTGGATTAAGGCAAACTTACCACGAAAACCACATATGTTCAACCTCTTTCACCTCCTCTGTGTCCCGATCTTACAGATCTCAACGTGCATTTTGACCTCGTGTTTCACGAATGTCAATCATGACGAGGTCCACCAATGGCATTCGTAACACTAAATTCCGATCATACCTAACTCACCAAAAACAAATGTACTGTGCCCATAGGCCCAGCACAAAAACTAGTTAAGGTTGTGTCGTTGTAACGATCGTAATCAGATGACGTAAGACGATCGCTAAACATTCAATTATCAATCTGCTAACATCTTAGTGAGCGAGTGAGTGACATATTTGCATATTCAGACCCCTCACAACACAGGTAGCCCAAGCGTATACATTGTACTGATTTACTATACAATATATGGGACTTCATAAATCTCCTTCTTCTTCTTCTGAAACTTCTACAGCGTGTTTTGGTTGTTCTTAGCTTCACTCTGAGCGAATTTCGTTCAATCTAATTGCTCTTTCCCCACCGTGAAGGAAAGAAGGAGAAGGTAGGAAACGGAGGCTTTCCATGGGTCTTCGATCGGCTCTACTTCACGACGATTTTTTCAACGATTTTTTTTTAGTTTTACATGAATACTTGCAGTTTTCACCGACTTTTTACCAAATTGACGTCGCCAGCGTGCTCCATACATTTTTTCCCCCAAAGGTGGTGAACCAATCAGAGTTGAGTTTTTTTTCCGTGGCAACGACTGTGACTTCTAGCTTTGAAACTTGTAGGCTCACCATCGGTGAATATACCACAGAAGCCCTCGCTTCAGGCCGATAAAACCTCACTTATACGCAACTTTCATTTGGATCATCATACATGGACACAGCTCTATTGTTGTTGTCTCAAATCACGCAGAAAATGATATTCGTTGAAAATTTTAAACTGTTTGACTAGCGCTTTAAGCGCTTGAATAGTTTATTTTTTATGAATATGAAAGTTTATATTTTTGTGCAGATAAATGCAAACAGCCCCTCCACCATTCCTACCATTTGGTTGTCTGTGTATGTTTAGAATAAAAATAGAAAAAAAGAGAATAGAATTAAAGAGAAATATATATAATTTTGCATGGCATAAAAATAGGACAACCTCTCATAATATTGTAGAAAGTATACTTCAGCAACTCATTTAACACTTTGAAGGGCAAAACTTGTTTAAAAAAGTCATTATTCATAAGATATATGATTCTATATTTATTATAGAAAGAACACAACTCATCAGGTAATTCTTAAGAAGGTCACATGTATGAAATCTATCAAATATTTTTTTTCTCTCTCTCACTTAAAATATGATTAGGTCATCGGCCGTCTGACGTTAATAATCTGGCTTAGATGCGTGAGTACCATTTTTTTTTCTTTTTGTTTTTGAAATTTTAATGGCTTCTTGAGCGATTTAAAAAAAATGACACAATTCCAATATTAAAAATGGATTACATAGTTAACTTTTAAAATGTCAGTGTCCTTAATTTCGGCTGATTCAAAAAATAAAGGCAATTTTAGGGAATTTGGGGACTGGACATTTCGTTAATTTTTTTCACCGCGGCCGATTTCATACCCTGTGGTATATAAACCTTGTTATAAATGTCGGTAGGCACATGGGGAATTATCTCGATGGTATCATATTCGTGTAAAAGACACACACGAAAAAAAAAAAACATTTAACGGAGAATGGGTTAACTGTTCGCCCTCACCCAGGATTATTATATATTTATTGTTCAGTTTAGGGTGAATTGAAGAGCTTTTTAACATTTAATTTGCCCCTGAATATTACGGAATAGAGCTGATGCATAATCAACTAGACGCACTTTAATGCATTTACTAGGGCTACCTTCAAAGTGTCCAACTCATTCTAATTCTGTCAATAGTAAAAAGTCTAGGTTGTGCAACCTTGATAAAAGACAATATAACTCATTCCCAATATTCATAATGTTTACTAGGTCTGCAGAAGAACTTATTAAGCTCCTATGATTATATATTAATGCAAACAGTGACAAGTCTACACATTGACGACCGGCATTTGACCCAAATAATACAATGTTACCTTGAGAATATGGAGCATAAATTACGGTGTACGGGCCAGGATTTTTTTCCTATATTCCTGCTTAGAGTGAAACTAACTATGATTGAGTCTGTGATTGAGCCTCTTATAAACCTCATACTGGCACAATATTTTACGTGAACTTGGAGTTGTAAGTGAGTTGCTGATAATAATTACTACGCAGTATCTAAATGCCCGGCAGCCGTTCGCGGTCTAAAATTGACTAAATGCCCGGCAGTCCAAACTTTCACCCAAAAAAAACGAGAACTTGCTACAGCTAATGGTATCAAACCAGTCTAACTTTATTAYGGTATATTAAGCGCTTCCTGTAGTCTGGACTGWTTCGAAAAAAGATTGTCTGTGTTCACTCGGCATAGAATACGGAGCACTTGGTTCATGTCACTTAGAATATTTTCACCAACACTGCCGGTCCAAACTTTCGCAAAAAATACGATAAATTACCTATGTTAATGAAGCTAAACTAGTCTAGTTTTATCGAAGAATATTAAGCGCTTCTTGCACTCTACACTGCTTCTAATAAGAATTGTTTGTCTTTGCTCGGCATAGAATACCGAGCACTTGGTTCATGTCACTTAGAATATTTTCACCAACACTGCTGGTCGCGGTCTCAAATACACTAAATGCCCGGCAGTCCAAACTTTCCGATAAAATGATTAATTATTAAAATGATACTATGTAGCAATATAGGACTTAATGGTTAAATAAAATTGCATTGTGTTATTGCATGTGCCTTTAGCACCTTTTCGCTCTTCTTACCACAACTAGCTTTTTACCTACCCTTTCCTACTTGTCCCATCGTCGTTTATGTTTTTGCGAAGCAATACGAAATAATCCTTATTAGAAGTAGTGTAGAGTACAAGAGGCGCTTAATATTCCTTGATAAATCTAGACTAGTTTGGCTTCATTAACGTAGGTAATTTATCGTATTTTTTGCGAAAATTTGCGACCGGCAGTGACATGAACCAAGTGCTCCGTATTCTATGCCGAGCGAATACAGACTATCTTTTTTCGAATCAGTCCAGACTACAGGAAGCGTTTTTAAGAAACTTTTTAGACCATAATTTCCTTCGACTGGGCAAAGAACCAGAAGCTGTTCTTATTTTGAACTTCCCATTATAAATTTTGGACAAGACTTCTTCGTGATTAAAATTGCATTCATTAACAAAGCAATGAATAATTGATGACATCGGTCACGATCGATGACGTTGAACAACACGAGGCTTGTGCCGAACCATACTGATAAGCAAGAAGTTTGGCATAACGAGACCTGCCTTTCTCAACTAAGAACTGCTACATTTTCATAATTGTACAGCTTTTTCAAATTTATCAAAATCATGTTCTAAAGAGTTAATCCAACCTTTGTTGACATTTTTTAATGAAATGTATAACCACAAGATGACG